CAAGGCCATTATTTATGTAGTACTCATAAGAAAGGACATAAACTTCTACAATTTTTAATTGACATGTTTTTAAAAATACAATAATAGTAACGATTGGGTATAATTTTGTACTATAGGCCTACTCATAAGAATAAATTTTCAATTTTTGATACAAATGTATGTGGTACACATTCAATTTTGTTACATGCATAGACTGCTTAGTGGTCAAGTCAGGACTGTTAGGGTACCCATCACTCAATTAATGTAGATTACAGTGCTTACTGACACCTCATCTACCTTTGCTCCCTTCCAGTGTTTCTCTACACTCAACAAGATGAATATATTTGAAATACTTACCTGCTTAAAATACTTCAAAGGATTCCCACTAGCCTTAGATCTAAGACTGACATCCTTAAAAGACCCTTTATTGCCTTTCAATAATCATTTTGTTTTGTTTTATTTTATTTTATTTTATTTTTTGAGATGGAGTCTCTGTCACCCAAGCTGGAGTGCTGTGGCACAGTCTCAGCTCACTGCAACCTCCACCTCCTGGGTTCAAGTGATTCTCCTGACTCAGCCTCCCAAGTGGCTGGGAATACAGGTACACACCACCATGCCCAGCTAGTTTTTGTATTTTTGGTACAGATGGGGTTTTGCCATGTTGGCCAGGCTGGTCTCAAACTCTTGACCTCAAGTGATCTGTTTGCCTTAGCCTCCCAAAGTGCTGGGATTACAGGCATGATCCACCACACCCGGCCTTCGATAATCATTTTGTACCATATTACTTAGTGCTCACTCCATTTCACTTACACTAGGCTTAATTATTCTTAGTCACCATGTTCTATTCTGCCTCAGGGCACTTGTACATACAGGTCCTTTTGCATGAAACACTGTTCCCTCTCCTCTTGCTTATTTAATATTATCAGAGTTTAGATCTAAAGTGCACTGTTGGCTGGGCACAGTGGCCCATGCCTGTAATCTCAGCACTTTGGGAGGCCAAGGCAGGAGAATTGCTTGAGCCCATGAGTTCAAGACCAGCCTTGGTATCATGGCAAGACCCTGTTTCTACAAAAAAAAAAAAAAAAGAGAGAGAGAGAGAAAGATTAAAAATTAGCTGGGCGTGGTAGCACACGCCTGTGGTCCCAGCTACTCGGGAGTCTGAGGTGGAGGATCACTTGAGCCCAGGAGATTGAGGCTGCATGAACAATGATTGCACCACTGCACTCCAGCCTGAGTGACAGAGTGAGACCCTGTCTCAAAAAAGAAAAGAAAAGAGAAAGAAAATAAATGATCAGTTCCTTAGAGAATACTTCCCTTATGTCTCTGACTTTGTCAACCACACACACAATCATATACATTGCTTGCTTTCATAATATGAGTATCTTATTTACATTATCATATTACAATTGAAATTGTAAGGTGGCTCTAGAAGGCATTTAGAACTGAGCACGATCATTTCTTCTCCAAACTCTCTCCAGGTCTCAATATCCTGTGATTTGAAGTCTAAACACTTTAGGCTGGAATGACATAGTCTGCTAACTTTTCTCCAATATCCACTCTCTCCTTACTTTTTTAAATACCACCCTTGCCCTCCCTCACACACACCTATGTTTTAACTGGGCACAAGGCTTTTCAGCTAGAGTCTACATTTTCTATGTTTCCACATGACTACTTTCTAGCTAATGAGACGTGAGGAAAAATACCGTGGGCAATGTCTAGATGATCTTCTTAAAAGAAAATTGCTAGCCCTCTATGTGTTTTTCTTTTTTGTTGTTTTTTTTTTAAACAGTAACTGGGTCTTGCTCTGTCACCCAGGCTGGAGTGCAGTAGCATGATCATAATTCACTGCAGCCTCAAATTCCTGGACTCAAGAGATCCTCCCACCTCCCAAGGTGGAGGGACTACAGTCTCAGTCTCCTGAGTGGCTGGGACTACAGACACGAGCCATCACACCCAGCTAATTTTTTATACATAATATTTATAGAGACAGGGTCTCAATATGTTTCCCAGACTGATTTCAAACTCCTGACCTCAAGCAATCCTCCCTCCTCAGCCTCCCAAAGTGCTGGGATTACAGGTATGAGCTGCTGTGCTCGACCTATGTCCTCTCTCTTCCTTTCCATGCACTAGAAGAGAGATGGGGTGGGGTGAACCAGATTCAACCAAGCAGAAGCTACCTCAGGGGACAGAAGCACAATAAAATGAAGGCATGTGGGACCCTGGATACCTCTGTGAAGCAGAACCAATCACCTTACTGGGTCACCTACAAGCTTGGACATTTTCAGGACTTAGAACTAAATCTTCTACCTTGGTTTCTATTAAAGTGACCAAACCGATGTAGTAATACCAGTACTCAAGGATCTGTGAGTTCTGCTCCTAGTCATCCTACTTCCCCTTCTAGTCCTGCAGGAACCCACAGTCATGCTCCTGAACTTACCACCTGCGTCCTTACTCTGGCCTTTGACAAGTTGGTTCTGGGAACATCCTCCTATCCTCGTTGCCTATTTTTCATCTGTCCAAGTTTACACATCCGTCGACATCCAATTCACACTCTTTTCACTAATTCAACAAACTCTTTAATATTTAGCACCTACTATGTGTCCAACACTGAATGATTTCTGCCTATAATCTAAGGGCAGCTATTTCTAAATGTCAGCTGTTACATGCAACTCACCTATCTCTCTAAAGTCAGGTGTCCATCTGGACTCCCTGCTATGGGCCCTACCCACCAGATTATATCCCTGGGCGCCAACTCTATCCAAATCATTGCTGAAAGCATTTCCCATGTAATAAAGAATGTGGCCTCTGTCTCCAGGTCCTGGAAGGCAGTGTCTAAATCCTTAAAATTTCCCAAATGATAAGAGTGCCTTTGTTATTCATGGTGGGTCCCCTGATAGTTGTTTAGGCTAACGAGGTGACTCACGGTGGACCCCCTAGACAGTTTATAATAGCAAGATAATACTTCCTGACTCCACAGGGAGAGGACAAGGAGGCTTCCCTCAGACCTCACCTATGTGTATCTTCTCTGGGCTGGTTCTAAATCGTGTCCTTTTTGCTATAATAAAACCCATAGTCATAACTGTGGAATTTCCTGAGTTCTATGAGTCCTTCTAGCAAATTACCAAAACTGAGGGGTATAAACTTCCAAATTTGTAGCCAGTTTGTCAGGTGTAAATGTAGCCTAGAGACCTCCAGATTTGCAGCCAGTATCTGAAGTGAGAGTCGTCTTATGGAGGGCTGAGCCTCTAATCTGCAGTTTGGCTTCACTCTGGGTAGTGCCAGAAGTCATGGCAGTGTTCTTCCTGCTGGGGCTGAGTATCTGGATTACCTAATTATGTGCTTCATTCATTCAATCACCTAGCAAACCTATATTGAGCATCAACCAATGTGCTAGGTACTGAATTCAGAGTTGGATAAAACATAGATGAGATAATTCTAATCCCTGCCCTCAAACAGTTTGAAATCTTGTAGAAAAGGAAATTACAACAGTATCGTAAATATTCACAGAATTGTGTGTGAAGTTTGCCAGAGTCAAAGTGAAGATCAATTATAAGGTGTGGGGAAAGGGCACTCCAGGGGACTTCCCAAAAAAGGCGGCCTCTGAGCTGGCTTTTGAAAGATGAATAAGCATTTGCCTCATGGGCAAAGAGAAGGGGCATTATATTCAGCAGGGATTGCATGTTCAAAGGCACAGTGGTGTGAAAAGGTGCACTGTATTCAGGTACAGTCATCCCTCCTTATCCTTGGAGGACATATCCCAAGACTCCCAATGGATGCCTGAAACCACGGATAGGACCAACCCCTGTATATACTGTGTTTCTTCCTATACATACATACATATATGCCTGTGATAAAAGTTTAATTTATAACTTAGGCACAATAACAGATTAACAGCAATAACTGATAATAAAGTAGAACAATTATAACAACATTGCCAACATCACTACTCTTGTGCTTTGGGGCCATTATTAAGTAAACTAAGGGTCACTTGAACACAAACACTGTGGTATCATCACAGTGAATCTGATAACCAAACTGGCTGCTAAGCGACTAACAGGGAGCGTGTCCACAGCATGGGTACACTGGACAAAGGGAGGATTCACGTCTCAGGAAGAACAGTGAGAGGTTTCATCACACTATTCAGAACAGTGTGCAATTTAAAACTTATGAATTGCTTATTTCTGGAATTTTCCATTTAATATTTTTGGACTACTGTTGAGGACAGCAAACCTGTGGATAAGGGGGACTACTGTACCTTTAAGTTCATTCATATTTTTGGAACACAATGTGGGGATGAGAAGTGGGGAGTAGAAGATAGGTCTGGGGAGTAGGAAGAGGCCTTGTTTTCCATGCTGAGCAGCTTGAACTTTGTTCTAGAAGTTTATCAAAGTGATGCCTAGAGTCCAACCAGAAATAAATAAAGTTTAACAAGCAAGCCCTTTCGAGAATGACAGTAGTGGGTAATAAGAAACCTGCACAGACTTGCAATTTGAAAGACCACTCAAGACTTCCAGTGTCTGGCAAAAAAGAGCTAGGTTACTCAAGATCAATCTTCCAGCTGAAATCAAATAAAAATGATATGTTGTAGAAATAACAACTTCAGGCCAGGTGTAGTGGCTTACACCTGTCATCCCAGCACTTTGGGAGGCCAAGGAAGGGAGGATTGTTTGAGGCCAGGAGTTCAAGACCAGCCTGGACAACATAGCAAGAGCCCATCTCTACCAAAAACAGGAAGGGGGCAACTTAAAATGCTGAAGAGCTGAAAAGACAAGAGGAACTTCCCAGGCTAATTTTTGGATGAAAACCCATAACCAGAAAGGTAAGCCAAATCCCCTCAGATCATAAGCCTCACTGTCTGAGGCTCTAGGGCAAAATGATTTCCTATTCTCTTATTTGCATTTTGGTAAATTTCCACATGGTGAGCTGCTCTTTCATGGAGCATACCTAGGTAATAATTACTTTTTCTTCCTCAGAGAGGCTGTGATTCTTGGAATGTCTAATGTGGTGGTTGATTGGACTTACGCCTTTCGTCAGCAGCTCAAAGAATGCCACAATTCACTCTTCTATGAAGTAGACATCCAGCCTTGATACCCAACCCAGAACTCTGAAAGAATGAAAATTTGTCACCTTTAGCAGGTGGAATTATCAGTAGGTACTTTATGAACGCCCAGTAGCTCAATTTCAAAATGTTTCCTTTTTTATTAAGAACTAACATTCTTTTGTTGGTCCATATCACAACATGCTGTGTCTGGGGTGCTGCACTGTTACAGAAATCAACAATCCTCTTCACGGTTCCATAAAGATAAGTGGGTGAGAGATTGTATGGCACCTGTAGGGCTGGGAAATTTTATCTGAAATTCCCATAAGCAAAACTGCAGTAAAGACCTCTTTGCCCTTTGTTAATTGAAAATAAACTACTCCTTTTTTTGGAGAAGGCCTCTGAAGCTGCCATGGAAACCAGCTCACTAAAGGCTTCAGCAACTGCTCTGATATTTAATTTCACCCACAGTGAATGTAATTCAGGCCGAGAAGTGCTCACAATATGAAAACACTGATTAGCAAGGGACTGCATGTGTACCTTGCTGGGTACAGGCCCCACTTTCTTTCTCTTTGAGGATGCTGAGCTTGAATGTCCAAGGGGAAAGATATCCAAAAAGGATCGCCACAAACCCGCTGTGAGGTTGACCAAGAAGATCATGGGTCCTGCCCGCAGGGAGGAAAGCACAGGGTAAATTACTAGAGAAGTCAGCTTCTTCCGCACCTCAGAGAAATAAGGAAGCTCAAGTCTGGATTGGGAGACCAGAGGACTCCAGGTTAAAAAAAAAAAAAAAAAAAACTTCTCTCTGATCCACCTTCTGCTGCAATAACCAAGTCTTATATCAGTGGCTGAGATTTCAGAGTCATTTTCCCAGAACAAAACAATAATATTTCCAAATCAAAGACAGGACAAAGACAGGATTAATAAAAGGGGGTTGGAGACCTCTTTAAAGAGGAAGGCAGACCTTGGCATCTTTTATATTCTCCCAGTTGTCCAGACTCCAACCCCCCAGCCATGTTGTCATAGCATTCCAAGTGGGAAGAAAAATGAGCAACTGTCCGTCTACCATTTTTACATTCTAGAGGAGGAACTGAGAGCCAGCAATGTAGATGAATGATGCGGCCAAAGCAGTGACAAAACCAGACCAAGAACCCAGGCCCTCTGAGTTCACCCCCTGCACTGACCATTCATTCACTCACTGACCCTTCCTTGCCTCAACCTTTCAGCAGCCATCAATCAGCAAGTTCTAGTGAGTCTCATTTTCCCATCCATTTTCTTGCCAGTGCTACTACACAAGCACAACCCCTTATCATCTTGACCAAGACAGAAGGAGAATAAGGTCAGGGTTCTGTGCTAAGCCCTTGGCAAACATGCCTTTAATCCTTACCACAACCTAAGAGGTGAGTAATAATTCCTGTTTTGTAGATGAAGGAACAGGAGCTTGGAGATTGAGAGAGGCTACACAATGACAAGTGACAGAATCTAGACTCAGACCCCTCATTCATCTGAGCCCAGGTCCACGCTAATAACCCATCACTCTATTGCCTCAGGAGACTATGTCCATGGCCTCCTAGTTGTGTTCATTCCCTTCCCATTTTAAACTACCTTGTATCCTGAAGCCAGATTGACCTTTTTTAAATTTCCTTTTAATCGTGTCACTACCTTCCTCAAAAGCCCAGCCCCTTGTCTTGCCCTTTGATGTGCTCTGACTGACAAGCTCTGCTCTGCCTCCCAAGGCTCACACATTGTCTTTTGGATGTTCTCAGATGCCTCGTTTCCCTCCCCTAGGATGTTTTCCCCTGCCTTTTCCTTCTCCCTCAAAGCCCCAGTAGTGGCTTCTTTATTTCCTCAATACTAACGGAATACCTACTAACTCTTCTACAACATTCATTGCCAAGAGGCAGTATTGCTCAGTGGGCAAGGCACAGACTCCAGAACAATTTGCCAGATTTGAATCCTGATTCCACCACTTGTTAACCATGCGACCTTGGGCAAGTTTCTCAACCTGTCCGTGCTTCAACTTCCCAAAACATAAAACGATGATATTTACGGCTCCTATTTATAAGGTTCTTGGAAGGATTAAAGTAGTTAATACATACAACACTTTTGGAATTGTGCAAGGAGCCGACTAATAGCTCCAAAACCATGAGCTAGTCCTAGCAGTAGTGGTAGGTACCAAGCACTGGCCTCGTTGCTGGGATCCAGAGATGAGTAAATCAGTCAGTCCCAGCCAAACACAGTGGCTCACCTGGCCAAGATGACGAAATCCCATCTCTACTAAAAATACAAAAATTAGCCAGGTGGTAGTGGCATGCACCCGTAATCCCAGCTACTTAGGAGGCTGAGGCAGGAGAATTACTTGAGCCTGGGAGGCAGAGGTTGCAGTGAGCCGAGATCATGCCACTGCACTCCAGCCTGGGTGACACAGCAAGGCTCTGCCTGAAAAAAAAATAATAATAATCACAATCAGTCCCTTTCCTAGCCATCTAGTGAGCAAAGTGGACATGTCAACCAATAATCATAGCCCAGTGCTCTACGTGCTGTAATAAACGCAGGTACAGAGGGCTTCAGGGAACAGAAGAGATATTAAGTGTCTGGAGTAGGTAAGGTTTCAGGAAAAAAAAAAAGTGTCATCTCAAAATTAAAGAACAATTGGAGTTCTTCCTAGTGTCCCAGCACGGACATGTCACTATCATCCAGAGATATCATCCAGAGGTTGCCAGGAGCCCCAGAGACTGGAACATGGCATCTGTGGGGCTGGAAGTGAAGCTGGCAAGGCAAGCAGGAGCCTGATCTCATAAAGAACCTTATGCCTTCCAGAGAAGGTTGTCCCTGAGACTGTAAGCAGAGGAAAGCCCACCCCAGACCATCATGATCTCAGCCTCTTCTGGCCTCATCTAGAGCACTAATTGCATATTTTACTAATGCCACTCTTAGTTGCTACCTTCTATTATTATTTCTGAAAAGCTTTACTATACCAACCCACCAGCAGCCCCCCTCTGAGGCTTCTTATCCCAGGTTGACATGTTTCCTACCAAGTAACTCTGCTACCTTGGTCACAGGTGACTGGACCAGGGATTGGCATCTGACCTAAGGGCAGCTACCCTGTGGTTGGCCAGTGCCCTACAGGAGGTGGCCAGAACAAAGCCCAACTCATTGATGCCATTCTATCCTGCATGCTGACTGCCTAGACAGAGTACCTCTCTCGGGGAACTTCAATGTGAGACACAGAGAGGAAAACAGACACAGGGGCAACAGAGGTGGAAAAACTCACTTGGAAGAAAGCAGTAAGCAGAAGCCATGACAAGCTGAGCCTAGAGGTGATGAACAGAGCGAGCCAGTCATGTCAGAACAGTGACAGCATGGACAGAAGCCGCTAAGACTCTGTGAGGCAGAACACTGGCCGAGGGATCCCAGAACGAGATAAGCCGTGGTATACACTGAACTGCGGCCTCATTCCCAAAGATCATTCCTATCATTCCTGTTTTTTGTGAGTTCGGGCAGTGCCACTGACTAAGACAATTTTCTGTTTCTCATGATTTCATGAGCATCCTCATAATAAACCCCAAAACTCCCTGAGCACATCCCTTCTCCTTGCCACGTGCTCTTTCTGCTCGATTAAAAAGTGTGTTCTGTCATGGGGGAATGATGGCCAGTGGTGTGGGGGTGAAAGAATTTACCAAGACAGTTGTAGGTAAAGGAAGGCAGATTTATTTGAGAAAGTAGGAAAATACATGGCCAGAGAGACAACAGGCAAGTCAGCAGAAGCTGACTGCGAAGAAACAAAGGCTGGCTGGAGAGTTTACGGGATGGTGTTTACGCTGTCTGTTGAAGGAGGCTTTGTACAGCACTGGTAACGCCAAGGGTGGGCTGCAGCGAGCTGACATGCAGGTGTCTGGTGAGAGTTGGGCGCAGGAGAATTGTGAGTTACTTTCACAGGAGGGCTGTGTGTCCTGGACCATACAGAAAGGTGGACTTGTTGCTCACCTCCTTTCTCTTTTTGCTTTCCCCTTATTCCACCAGCCTGGTTCCCTTTTCCCCAGTGTGAACGCCCATGTTCCATAAGTGCTTTCTTATGGAACAGAGAAACAGCCCATGCATTAGCAGAAAAGCAAGACCTAGAAGGGCTGATTCTAAGTGATGTCCAGGATTTTCATGAGAGAGGATGGAGGCAACTTGCAGGGGGAGTGGGGAGACATGAGGCAAGAGAAGTGCGGAGGAAGCAAATCCTACAGGGATCTGGGCTTTCTCCTGAGGTTCTGGGGCCCGTTTAAGGCATTAGGAATGAAAAAATATGATCAGGTTTGGAACTGCTGGATAAAATGTTGCCACTTCATATGATACATACTGTTATCTCCAATACACATGAGGTGTTTCCATGGAAGTAGACATAAGGTATTGGGGGTCTCAAAGCAACTCTCTTCTATGAAAATGTCCGAATACTACATGACCAGAAAGGAAATCCATCTCTCCAGGAATATCCATCCAGCCAAAATTGTAAAGCAGAGAAAAAGATATGTAGACACACTACACATCTAGTGCCTAGATAAAAGACCTCCCCCAACCCCGACCCCCGCAAGCCCTGGAAGAACAACTTCAACCATGATTTTCTTAACACAAAACATAGCACACACACAAAGAAGACCCAGAGCTGGTGGGGCCTTTTTTTTTTTTTTTTTTTTTTTTGAGTCTCACTCTGTTACCCAAGCTCGAGTGCAGTGGCACGATCTCCGTTCACTGCAACGTCCACCTCCCAGGTTCAAGCCATTCTTCTGCCTCAGTCTCCAGAGTAGCTGGGACTTTAGGCACCCGCCACCACCTCCGGCTAATTTTTGTATTTTTAGTACAGATGAGGTTTCATCATATTGGTCAGGCCATTCTCAAACTCCTGAGCTCGTGATCCGCCCACCTCAGCCTCCCAAAGTGCTGGGAGTACCGGAGTGAGCCACCGCGCCCGGCCTGGTGCGGGCTTTTTAAAGTCCTATGTGTAACAGCGCATGAATTTCTCTCTCAGGAAAAACAATCTCTAAAGAAAACTTTAATGGAAAATTCCCACCATGAGTATCCTACTTTACCCTGGCCCGAGTTTCACAAATACTTGCTTCTACCCCACACAGCCAGGCACTGAGAAGTGTCCAGAAAGACTCCAACTGCCGGAGATTCCCAGAGAAGCAGAACACACAGAGCCACGATGAGAACTCAGGATGGAGTAAACTTCCAGGTCCATGTGGGTTTCCAGGACCCAGCCCACATCTGCCAACCCACCGTGTCCTCTGCTTCCTGTTTCCCTTCTGCATCCTTTTCACTGATGCCTTCAAATACCCCTGTGTGTGCATGGGAAAAGTGGTTATGCTGCCAATTTAAAGAACCAAGGCTTCAGAGGAAAAGAACCTCACGCGTGCCCCCACACCCCCCCCCCACTCCCTGGTTCCCACTGGCTATTTGTAAAAGTTACTCACAGGAGGAAGAGAAAGAGCATACATGTGTGATTACCTGCTCACCTCACGGTGGGGTGAACCAAGGTTCTCTGTGCAGTTTCCTCCACCACCTGTTCACACTTCCTTCTCTCGGAGACTTGGCAGGGAAACACTCACTGTTTTTCATCCTAACTCAAAGACAGTGAGATTCTTCATACCTGCACAGGAACCATGCAAGTTGTGATTGA